CGCGCTGCGGCGAAACTCACGTGGCCCGGGGCGTCCGAGGCCCGCGGCGCACACACAGCCGGGCGCGGCGAGCCGGACCTTTCAATTTACGCGGGATAGCTGGAGGCCCCGCCCCTGCGGACGTGACGTCAGAGCACACGTTCTGACGCCGGTTCAGCCTCCCGCGGCCTCCCGCTTCCGGGTCCCGGCTGCCAGCCTATTGGGCCTGACGGCACCTGCGTGGGCCGGAAGCTGCTGCCGCCCTCGGGAAGTGAGGGCGGAACTGGCTTAAGTGGGTCCTGCGGGGAAGGGCTGCCCGAGGAAGTTGAGCGTGCGGGGCTCGCTAGGCCTGCTGGGAGTTGTAGTTCGCGCCTGTTCGCGCCCAGCCTGAGTTCTCATTGGAAAGTACACACCTGAGGGTTTACTGAGGCTTTTAAAAACCTGCAAAAAGACCGGTGCTGGAACTAGTGCTTTCGTTTGTGTCTGCTTGCTTTTCTGTTAATCCTGAGACTGGACGAGTCCCGGACAGCGGCAGGACACAGAGACCAGTTTTGCTGGTTAAACCAGCCTGGTGACCGGCCCCAGACACCTGCTGTCACAGGCTTCTTGGCCCAGTCTGCCTTTTTTCTGACTTATCCCCAGGGTGAGCATTCCTACGCTGTTTTTTTTCACTGCGAATACAGTTGGCTGCTATGGAAAGAAAAGGGGGTGACAGGCCCAGAAGAAAAGTCACCTTGGGAGCAAAGCAGGGGAGGCCGGGCGACGGGCACCCCCCCCCCCCCCCCCCCAGGAGACACGGCCACGCGGCTGCACTGCCCCAAGCTGTCGCTGATGGTGCCCGCGACTAGCAGCCACACGTGGGCTTCAGCCGCGTGCATGCTCTCTGCTTTCTCAACCTGTTGGTACATTTATTAAATTGAATGCCTTCATCTTTAAACTGCAGTCCTAAAACCAGTTCACCGCAGGAGTCTGTGTCACGACCAGGGAGTCATTCGAGCTCCGTCTGGGCCTTTCGCCACCCCGTGAACACCGACTCCTTGCCTGCCCTCACTAGCGTCCTGCAGAGGCCTCTTTTCAGTCTTGACCGGGGGGTTCAAGAGCTCTTTCCGTCCAGCTCGGGAGCAGCCCCCCTGGGCTTTCTGTCCGCATCATCACCCACACTTGGTTTCTGGTCTTTGCAGGACGGGTCGTTCTCCCAGGTGAGAGGTTGGATCTCACTGGCAATTCCTTGATGATAAATGATGACAAGCGTTTTTTCATGCGTCTGTTGACCATTTGTATGTCTTCTTTGGAGATGTGTCTATTGAGCTCCTCTGCCCGATTTTTGATGGGGTTATTTGGTTTGGTTGTGTTGCAGTGTTGTATGAATCGTAGGTGTCAGTCCTTCGTCAGACGCGCATTGTGCAAATATAATCTCCCATTCCATAGGGTGTTTTTTGTTTTCATGATAGTTTGTTTTCCTTGTAGAGATTTTTTTTTAGTTTGATGAACTGCCAATTGTTTATATTCTTTTTTGTTTCTGGTGCAGTTGGAGGTGAATACACAAAGACAAAACTGTGCCCGGTGCTGACGTTTTGCCCGTATTTTCTTGTATATTTGATGGTTTCAGGTCTGTATGTGATTTTGGATGTTTCCCTTCTTGGCTTCCATAGATCTCAGAGTTTTTCAATCGCTTAATGAGGACGTGAGGCAGGAGCTTGGAGGTGTCAGCGCTGTGGCTGGGTGGCAGTTTGTGTTTCTGTCACTGCAGACCACGCTCTTCTCTGCGATTCCAGACTTGCAACTCTGCTGATCTGGACATTTTCCGTGAACATCACAAGGCCAGTAGCAGTGCTGAGTGGCTGAGGAGTGGGGTGCAGCCCCGTATCCTGTCCTTGTTCCTCTCACACTGATATGGCCGGTGGAGAACCCCAACTCCTTCACCTGCGTTTCCCTTTAGTTGGGGGTGTCTGTCTCCCCTCTGTGGTGCCATTGCTGTGGATTGTGCCCCTGCTGTTGCACTGGCTGGGAGGTTGTGGATGAGCCCCCAATATGTGGCATGCTGGGGGGTTGTTGTGGATGAGCCCCAATGATGTGGCATGCTGGGGGGTTGTGTGGATGAGCCCCAAATACCTGACACACATGATATGACTAACCAGGAACCACAGCCTGTGTGACAAAGCATTGACACACTGCTGGCAGCAGTAGGCAAATAGGAAGTTTATTCAAAGACACAGACCAGCTCTCTAAAGCCTCAAGGGTTAAAGAAGCAGACTAACGCCTGCCAGGAGTGAGCCACCTAGGAAGATTTATGCAAGGACAGATAAAAACAAAAGCAGCTCCCTCAGCTTACACTGAGAGGCTTCCTGATGGGTGGCCACTTCTGAAAATAGCCTGGTGGTTTTTATAATTATGTTCAGGTTTTGGACCCAGGGGATGAGCTGTGGTGAACGTGCAGTTCCTCATTGGTCAGCCTTGGCCAGTGGCCTAACACAGATTGACCAGTGATAGAGTGAGGGGCTTTTTCCTGGTTACTGAATTTTCTCTTGCTATGTCTCCCAGAGTCCCATGCCTCGGGGGGTCCAGTCCTTATCCCTCCTGCGTCTTGCAGGGCCCCAATCTATTCTACTCCCTCCCCACTACAGTGTCCAGGCAGCTCTGTTCACCATCTCTCCACCTCTCATACCTATGCTGATGGGTACACTTTCAGTGAGACCAGCTCTAACCTTGCTCTATTTAGATTATCCTATCTATCTGCTAAAACTGGTTTATAACAGATTCCCTGTAAATGTTGATTGATTGAATGAGTGAATATTGAGATAATCTACTATCCTAAATCCAAAACAGTCACTGATATTTTTAAACTTTGGGTAATGTAGCTGTTTGCAAAGCTATTTTACAGTCAAATTAAATAATGAAAAATGCATCACCACGAGTATCATTTAAACAAGTAGAACAGAGGAATACAGAAATAATAAATAATAAATAAATAATAAATGTCGGTTCCCATTCTCTGCTATGGAGGAAAAAACTGGCTTAAATAGCCTCTCTTTGTAAAAAAAGTATGTAACATATTAACACTGTTATGTCTTGTACTGGTGAAATGCTGCTATACAGTTGGCTGGAAATGCCTGTTGCATGGAAACACGTTTGGAAAGGGCACTGGCTTTATTCATTACAAATCCCCAGACTCACTCTTTGATATTTAATAAGAGTGGGACACAGACCGTCTATTGCTCTGCAAATCACAGCTCCTGTGATCGGATCGTGGAAATCTTAATGGGGCACAAGTCTTACTCATCTTTTTATTTTTAATTTTTCACTCTGTATTGTGTAAAGCTCTGTCCCCTGAAGGGCAGCAATTCTGAAATTGTTCTTGGCAATTTCTTTGCCATGCATAGGTAATATTTCTGCTTGGATCAAACATCATGTCCTTCTGCAAAGTAACTGTTCATTACAAGTAAAGATGCCCTCTCATGCCTCCTAAATCACTGTGTATTTTGCAGTTGCAATAAAGCTATTTTTGTAACAACTTTAAGAAAATACATAAATGTGTAGAGAAGAAAACAAAATCCCTAGTAATGCTGCCATCCAGAGATAATTACTGCCTAAATCATAGCCTTTACACATTATTCTACACTTGCTTTTTGTTTTATGGTATGTTTCCTATTTTTTATGGTGAATAATTTGTATATAGAATTAGACAACTGGAGTCAATTTGGATGATCCCAGTTTTGTTAACATCTATAGCATCAGTCAGGAGCCACTGGAACATATGCCTTTTTTCCTTTTTCTTTTTTCATTTAATTAGTTTATTTTTTATTCACAGACATTTTACATCACTGTTCATTTTTTAACAGTGCTAGCTTTTCCCTGGTGTAGTCCCCATAGAATTCCCACCACCAATTCACCCCTGCACTATCAACACAGTCCCCTTCTCTCATTCCAACTCCCCTCCCTCCTCACTCTATTGCAGTGTCTCTTGTTTATAGTTGTCTATTTATTTCTGTTCTGTAGTTTTTTTAAATATCTTTTCCCTAATGCATTATTTGGTTCACCTATATTCCTCCTATAAGTGAGACCCTCTAATTTTTTTCCTTTTTCCTCCTGACTTATTTCACTGAGTGTAATTCCTTCTAGCTCTATCCATGTTGCTGGAAATGGCAGGCGTTTATCTTTTTGATTGCTGCATAATATTCCATTGTGTATTTCTATTACATCTTTTAGATCCACTTTATTTTGGGGCATTTGGATTGTTTCCATACCATATCTCTTGTAAATGGTGCAACAGTAAGCACAAGGGTGCAGGTATCCTTTTGAATTAATGTTTTTTTATGTCCTTTGGGAAAATCCCTAACAGTAGAATAGCTGGATCATATGTTAGCCCCATTTTTAGAAGTTTGAGGAATCTCCATGCAGCTTTCCATAATAATTATATCAGTTTTCATTCCCACCAGCAGTGTAGGAGAGTTCCTTTTTCACCCCACCCTTGTCAGCATTTATCATTGCTAGTGTTTTTGATGTGTGCCATTCTCACTGGTGTAAGGTGGTATCTCATTGTGGTTTTAATTTGCATTTCCCTGATAATGAGGAATATTGAATATTTTTTCTATGCCTGTGGCCATTTTTTTGGAGAAGTGCCTTTTAAATTCTTCTGCCACTTCTTAACAGACTTGTTTACTTTGTTTTTGTTGAATCATGTGGTTTCTTTTTATTTCTTTGTGATCACTCCCCTATCAGTTGTAAGGAGTGCAAAAATTATTTCCCAATCAGTAGGGTGTTTCTTTGTTTTGATTAATGTCTCTTTTGCTGTACAGGAGGCTTTCAGTTCGCTGTAATCCCAGTTTTTCTTTTCCCTCACTTTCTTTGCTTTGGGGTCTTTAAAGTCTTTAAAGATATTCCTGAGATGTGTGCCTTACAGTGTTGTACCTTTATTTTCTTTTATATATTTTATGGTTTCAGGTCTTATATTCAGGTCTTTTAACCATTTTGAGTTGATTTTTGTGTGTAGTGTGAAGTAGTGGTCTAGTTTCAATTTTTTGCTTATGTTGTTCCAGTATTCTCAGCACTGTTTACTGAACAAACAATCTTTGGAACATACTCCTTTTACTCTCCATCTGGCCTGATAAAGGTGTTGATTTTGGCCACATCATTGTCATCATCATAACTTTTACTCACAGCCTGTTTGAGCTGGTGCCGATGGATCTTCCTTGGCGTCCACAATGAACACAGTATGTTTTCCTCTATATTCTTCATGATTGATTAGCTTTCAAGGGGAGCTTGTTGATGCACGCTAGTTTCAAGTCTCTTGTATGTTTTGTTGCTTTTGTATGTCATGTTAATGGAACATTTTTTTCCATTAAAAAATAATTTGCTTATGGTCATTTGTACATTTTTAAGTTTTAAATGTATTATGTAACTATGTGATTTCATCCAATGGCATTTATGAAATATGCCAAAATGACGTGTGTTTTCCTTTATTCTCTTCTGCATTAGGAGTTTGCCTACTGCTTTTCCAAAATACAATCTGCCCAGAATATCATTCAGCTGCTTTAGATGTGTGCTGTAACTATTGATCCACTAGGGGTCAACACTTCCTCAAAAGAAAACCATCCTAAAACCCATTTTCTTTCCCGTGAACAAAAGAGGACTTTGGCTGAAATAAGCACTACAGAAAACCAGTAATCTCCATTTAAATAACAAGATTGGAAATTATGTAAGGCAGGAGAGTCTGGATAAAATGAAAAGGCTATTTTTAAAGAAAACAAATTATATAAAAAGGTTTTAAACTTATTTTAGTGAAAAACAAAAGCAATTCAAAGCAGTCAAAAATTTAAAATTAGGCCCTCCCTGGTGGCGCAGCGGGTTAAAGCACAGCACTAAGAAGCTTAAGCTACTTCCGCATGAGTTCGATTCCCGCCTGCTCCGGAGGAGACCACATGGCGCGGCAGACCTCTCCTGACCTGCCCGCTGCTCCCCTCAGCAGTGGACTTCGTCGATCTGCCTGTTCTGCTCCCCGCTCTGTTTCTGGTGAATCCTCTCACCCTCCACATCTCTGGCCTGTACCCCAGTTCTGTATGAATAAGTAAATAAATCTTTTAAAAAAAATTTTTAAATTACCTAGAGAAAAGTTTAAACTTTAAAATAAAAATGGTGCAAGACCTACTCACATTCTATGTTGAAAATTTGTAAGTGGGCAGTAGGTATAAAAAAAAAAAGCCACTTTTTAAAAAAAAAATTTTAAAGATTTATTTATCTATGCATACAGAACTGGGACACAGGCCAGAGGTGCAGGGGGGTGGTGAGAGGCTTCACCAGAGCAGAGTGCGGAGCAGAACAGGCAGATCGATGAAGCACACTGCTGAGGGGAGCAGCAGGCGGGTCAGGAGAGGTCTGCCGCGCCCTGTGGGTCACCTCCGGGGCAGGCGGGGATCGAACTCATGCTGAGGTGGCTTTTTAGCTTCTTATTAACCTGCTGCGCCACCAGGGAGGGTCCAGAACAACTATTAATAATATTTTTTTTAATAATATAATACAAAAACAAAGCTACTTTTTCTGCTTTTCCCCTTCTTTACTCGGAAAGACCAGGAGACTAATCTGCTTCCTATTTTTGGTAGATCCCCGACCCCGACCCCCGGCCCCTCACAAGTAACTGGGTGAAAGACAGCGTCAAAATGAAAAAGGCAGCTGTGCTCATTTGCTGCAGTCAGGACAGCTGATGAAGTTCTCTACCACTATTACCATGAGTGAGGACTCAGAGTCTAAAAGAACTTGCAGTAGGGGAGGCCGGGAGAGCCCCGTGGAGCAGCTGTGCCTCTCGCTCTCCCAGCCTGAGCTGTGAGCCAAGATAGGAACAAAGGAACAAGAAAATAGCATGCAATTGTGTTTCAGTGATCGTACAAATTAGTTAAGTTTCAGCTGAAAGCAAGTTGCTCACAGTCAGTACATCCTCAGAGCAGGAGTCAATTTGGGGAAGACGTTCTGTTTGCAAAACTTTTAATGTCCTGGAACTCCGTAAATAGGTGCTCTCAGGAGATTCCAGCTCCCCTTAGGGCAGCAGGCTCGACCCTAATTCAAGGGAGGTAGGAGAGAACGGTGCTGACCGCCGGTATCACTGCCAGGTACATTCTCTTTGAGGTCTGCTAACTTCTTAAAAATCATGTTGATCGCACAAAAGCAGACAAATCCATAAAGGAGGGAAGGAAAGAGATAGGACTGAGGCCAGAGGGGAGTATGAGACGGGAGAAGGGGGGTGAAAAGGACAAGCAGCAAGACTTCTCTTAGCCTAAGCGCCAAGGACAGCTTAGAAACCCTCGTCGCCCTCAGACAGCTGCTTCTATCAAGACTGGTGAAAATAGCAAGATCAAATGATAATTTATGTACTTTTTAGGCAGAAATGGTTGTATGCTTTATGATTTCCCCCCCACAATCGGTGTATCAAAGATATGAGCTTTACACTGTGCCGAAATTACCCTTCAGGGGTGTGGTAGCAATTTATAGTCCCTGGGAAGGCTATCTTTCCCACCACATTGACTTCACATTGCTGTCTATCAATTTCATCGTTCTTTTCCAATTTGCTTGGATGATCACAATAGTCTTGAGGTTTTAATTTGCCATGTCTCCATTCAAATTATTTTTTTAAAAATTGTTTTATTTTGCTTTTTAAACTTTTTGATAAATTGAAGTCATGTTGGTTCACAACACTGTATATGATTTAAGGTTTTGGGTTCTGAACTCTTCAGCTGTGTTGCTACACCATGCCCACCAGGAAGGGACAATAATCCTTTGTTCCATTAACTTTTCTCCCCACTTAAGAGTCCTACACCCTCCCCACCCCGCCTGGCAACCTCAATTCTGCAAATAGATTTTAGGGTGTGTTTCTGGCCTAGGTTTTTTTTTTTTTTTTTTTAAGTTCATCTACTTTTTTTTATTGAGTAACCTTTGGCTCACATCATTTGTATTTCAGAAATGTAGGTGGTGTTGCCATGGTGCCCACCACCCACAAAGCACCCATTGTGCATCAGAATAGTCCATCAGATTTCTTCCTCTGTCACCTTGGCTCCTGCCCGCTCATCTGACGGCCTTCCATGTCAAGTCAGCTCTCAAGGGTTAGTTATTTGAGTTTGGTTTTATCTGACCTTTTGGTTTCTTTATATTCCACATAGGGCTGGCACCATCTGGATGTGTCTTTCTCCTGATTTACTCTGCTGAGCGTAATCCCTTCTCCTCTTGGTCGCGTGTCACAAAGGGCAAGTTTCACTTTTCTGAGTGCCAAGCAGTATCCCACTGTGTCAATATGCCGCGCGAGAAGTTGAGCCGCTCATCTGTTTGGGGAAATTAGGTTGTTTCTGTACCTTGCCATCCTAACTAGCACTGCAAAGAACAGAGAACAGCATGCCACTGACACTGACTCTAATTCCTTGGCTGTATGATATTGACAGTGCTGATTCTCCCCCATCAGGGGCAGGGAATAGCTTTCCTTTCCTTTTGTCTTTTTCTATTTCTACTTGTACATTTAAGTTGTTTCCATGTCCCGGCTCTGGTAAACAGTGCTACGATAAAGAATGCTAACATCTTATCGAATTAGTGTCTTCAGATTCTTTGGATACATTCCTAGGCCTGCAATTGCTGGCTCATATGGCATTTCTATTTTTATTTTTTTAGGGAAATATCCATTCCATTTAATATCATAATGGATTGAGTTACATTTCTACCAACAGCATATGAGAATTTTTCTTCTCTGTACTCTTGCCAACACTTATTTCTGGCCTTTTTCTTGTTTTATTGAAAAAAAAATTTTTTTTAACTGAAGTGCCATCATGTTACATCCGTGCTAGTGTGGATGTAACATGTAACATGTGGCTGGCAGTACGGGATTTCCCCTCAGGTGTAGTGACCACAGCACTCCCCCCTCTAAAGCACACAGTCTTGTACCATAGCCCCACTGTACATTCCCTGCACCCCTGTTCTCATCCCTCCCCCCCCCTTTCCCTTTCTGGAAGTCACAGATCTATGGTCAACTTTCAAAGATTTTTTTTTTAAGATTTTATTTATTTATGCATACAGTACTGGGGTGCAGGCCAGAGGTGCAGGGGCGGTGAGAAGATTCACCAGAGACAGAGCGGGGTGAAGATGAAGTACACTGCTGAGGGGAGCAGCGGGCGGGTCAGGAGAGGTCTGCTGCACCAGGTGGATCACCTCCGGGGCAGGGGATTGAACAGTATTCAAGGATTGAATACCAAGCCCTGAGCACTGTGCTAGTTGGGAAGCGCAGATTTATCCCATACAGAGCTTTATGTCTCTGGGCAGCCTTGTAACCAGAAGGTACATTCACTATTCTCAAGGCAAGTAGTTGAAGTATATTGATGATATGGTTGAATTTCTGTGCTCAAATGATTTTAGGAAAAAGTCTAGGAAATAACTATTCAAAAGGAAGGGATCCTGTGCTAAGGAAAAAAAAAATCTTTTATTACTTAGTGGTGAGTCACAGGGCAAGCAGAAAGCCCTTGGGGTCAGAGTAGAATAGGAAGAGCCTGGGAGGAAGAAGTAAGGCTCCAGAGATCAGGGCAACAAATGCCAAGGGGGCTCATCGGATGCCCCCAGGGCTGGGGGCCACAGGACATTCTGGACAAAGACAATAAAGAAAACTGTGCTAAGATTAGGGCTGGGCCAGAGACTTAATTCTAGGCACAGAGACATCAAGACCGAATGAGACCACGAGATCAAGATCGTAAGCAATCACAGGCACTGGCGGAGCTCTAGAATAACGAGGGACGAGGGCCTGTATTCCCTGAGGCACCACTACACTGTGGCTTCTGGTCCCTGGTGGCCTGTTTCCACCTGCCTGGGAGTTGCACTTTATTTCTGTTCCTTTTCTTCTTAATAAACTAAGTTCATTAACATCCCTTTTTCAACCATAGTGACTTCTTTGCTATTAAAGACATCGTTCTGTTTAAAAAAAAAAAAAAAAAGTCTAGTTCTCAATGAATCAGTTACTGATAAACAAAGACCTCCAATGTCACAAGATAATTTTAAAGATTAAAGCTGGCATTTCCATATAATATATCTTTACAACCACATCTAGTTACTCATATAGAAAACTGTCCTTCCAATGAGAATGTTCTGATGCCAAGGTGAAGGCCCGAGTCAGTATTTTTAGTTTGCCTTTTTCTAATCTTGAAAGTGTTTCTCTGGGCTTTCAAGGTCTTTGCTTCCCTCACTGGATTCTGGTTCAACCACTGTGATGTTACCGGTGCCAGGAGTCTCTGGTTGCTTCCTATCGCCATCAAAAATAATGTCTTCTGGATTTGGAGGTGGGGGGCAGAATTCCTCACCTGGAAAGATCTCCTGAAAAAGTGTTTCAGCTTGCTTGACTGCATGTTCATTTCCCAGTCCACAGTCAGGCCCAGAGCAGACGTAAACATTGGACGGTAAGCCAGTATATGAGCTTCTGCTGACTCCCGAGGAATCTCTCATATTAAAATAAAGAGCCCACAGGATTCTTGGCTTTGTAAGCTCTTCCGGGCTTTTCTCTGTTTCAGCGTATGGGGTGAATAATTTTCTCACCATGGACTCTAGGTCTTCTTTCGCTGTTTTAGAAGATGCACAGGTCAGGTGCACCAGGTAGGTGTTTTTCATGCATGTCATGGTTGACGAGCATAGTTCAGTGACCCGAACAGCACACGCTGTCGGTTCCAGAGGTGGCACCATCAAAATGGAAACCTGCTGATCTGAGTCTGTCTTTAATAAAGACTCATCTGTAATGAGCACTGCCCTAGAGATCTGCTTATACTGCACATTTGAACACGTTTCCTTGGAAAGGTAACTGTCCTCCACAATAAAATATTTGGCATTTATCCTCTGACCAAACTGATCTATAATTGCTGTACATCTTCCAGCCTGTTTGTCAACCACAAGGCACTGCACTTGACGGCGAAGACAGTAGATGCCACCAAAAACTGCAGACATCCTGCAGAAACACTGGGGCATTTCTCCTTGGCCATACAAAGGAAATAGAAAGGGAGTGTTGCCAAATCGCCCAAGACACTGAAGGAAGTTTTTTGTTGCTTTAAGGCCATCTATTGTGGTGCAAGATGAATCTGATGTCATTGCAATTGAGTGTAGGACAAAATGTTGGAGGTTCGGGGTTAACTTTCTAGTTTTTAAGTACTCTGAAAACGAGCATTGCATGAAAGCTTGATATTCATCGGGATGTTGTTCATAGTCTAAACAAAAAGCCAGGAATTTCATTAGCATCCTTTTTTCAACCATAGTGAGTTCTTTGCTATTAAAGACATCTGCTCTGGAACAAGGCACCTTCTCTACTTTTCCTTCTCGAAATGCAAGAATCCTAGTGACATTTTTAAATTCTGCATAATGACAAACATTTGACTTGATCAGAAGATCAATTAGCAATCCCTGAGAATACAGCAGCTTTGATACCAAATCGATATTAAACTTCCTGCTCTCTTTCACTATTTGAGAGTAGGTAACCCTATTTCTCTTTGATTGATCACTATTGCCTTCCATTACAGGTTTGTTTTCACCTTTATCCCCAGCTAAATCTGAATGTATACAGGTTTCATCTCCACAATACTTTTCCTCTGTATCTGTTACTTCTGGTGAAATCTCTCCATCGCTTTCTGGAGTGTCTCTGGCAGGCATTTTGTAGCTTGTGGTGGACAATGAGTGTGTTTCTTCAGATAAGCTTGCAAAATCCAGTGGTTTAGAGATGCTGCTGGGTGCCACTGGGGAAGGGTTATTCTGGACAGCATCGATTTCTTCAATATTGTCATTCATATCTTGACTGACATAACAAAATACTTCTCTGTGTTGAATGGTTTCATCCTTCCTGCAAAGTGCAACAGCTGCTTCTGTTTCATGGATCAGATCTTGCCATGCAGCAGTACTTTCTCCCCCAACGTCATTGTTTTGCTGATAATCATCCAACCAGGAGAGCAATCCTGAAAAGCTGAAGCTAGCCCAGTTTCCTCCATAGTAACTTTTTGAATCAATATGCAGAACCCTCTGGCCATTTCTTGAACAGGCAGCTGCAAGGATGGATTCAGGTAAACCTGTCCCTATGACAACCACGTCAAACTCTGTGGGGAGACAGTCGGCCACCCTGGAAGATGAAGCATCTGCTGACATTGTGGCTGGCAGCAGGGTTGAAGTGCAGCGGAGGTGTGACTGGACGGCAGTGTAGCTCTCCCTGGATATTCCAGTTCATCCAAGTTAAACAGAAAGTCCTTCTGTTTAACAGTTACACTTCTTAAATACTTTCTTATCGATCAGTGGCATAAAGTAAAAGATAAAGCACATCGAATCACACATAATAGTCGTGTATCTTCATTTCCACATCTCATCTTACTGGCAAATGTCAAAATGTATCACATATGCGCTTGTGACTGGAACTCTGAAAGAAAAAAATTCAAAAAAGAATGCAACTGTAAACAATATAAAAGTAATTTCATGCACCATCAATTATAATCCACTGGAGCCGGATTTGTTATTAGGTTACAAATCTATAAAAACAAGTTATTAAATACTTTCTCAATTTTTTTTTAAATGAATGCTAGGGAAATACCACCCCTAAATCAGTAAGTCAGTAAGAAAGGGACACAACATCCCACCACACACCAAAAATTGCTTAATACAGTTCTATTAACATCTGCTTTTAGGAAAACCAGTATTTGACAGAACCGTAGCAAATGTGGGCGGACCGCAGGTATAGTGTGGCTGCATTGTTTTGCTGGACACAAGCTATGTCCTATGTAGACACTGCTAAGATAAGGAGTAAAGTATGTGGGTGAGTCTGTCTGGAAGAGCTGAAGACTTTTCTACACTCCAGCCACCCTCGGGATCTCATAGTAGTAAAAACATGAGACTTCAACAGGATTAATTCAGTGAACTGACTAGCATTATTAAAGGACCCAGGTACGTAAAAGGTCTAATACAAGGAACATGTACTGATGACAAATCTTTCTGTGAGTGTACATACACGTATGTGCGGTTTCTGGGTATAACTAAAAAAAAAGTTAAATACTTCTACATCTGAAGAGTGATTTGCATTTTGCCAAGCCCTAACTCTCTGTATCTCAAGATTAAAGTTCTCTCTACACATCTTCTGCTAAGATGAATATACACTCCTCTTGTTCTGAAGGGACAGAAAATGCCAGAGAAGGCACCGCTGGTAACGTTGTGCAGAACCTGTTACGTGCCACGTGCAGAAAATCTGTGTGGCACTGGAGGCTGAATGCCAGAGCAGGACAGCCAGAGTGGCCGAGAAGCACGCCTGCTCGAGGCTTTAGGCTAAAGCAGGATACACAGCACACGCGAGGGGACGTATGTATCATGCTTCACCCTCAAGTATGATCACAACTCATGCAGGGGACGTATGTATCGCTCATCATTACACAGAGTTTTCCTGAGCTCCCATTCTGCCTACCACTAAACTTACTGAAACTTACATCAGTGAAAACTGCGCACACCTACACTAAGATGACTATTTTGGGTAGCTGTGAAATTCAAATGAAATGTATTTAGATTAAACTCGACTGTTCACTAAATGGATAGGGTGAGTGAACAATGGCAAACCCAATAGCCCTGTCTAGTCAAAACCTCGCTCTCAAAATGTAGGAGGTTTCCTACTTGTTTTCAGCATTCCCTGAGAAACAAGCAGCAGCAGTTGCCTGGCCCGCTCACGTATGGGTGGATGTCTGAATATGCGTGGATGTCTCCCGGCAAGGTATATGCAGAGGAACTTGGCACCCACATGTACATGTAAAGTGTAACCATGTCACGTGCTTATTTTTGGCCAAGAAGAGAACAGAGTTGTGTGTGGGTGTAAGAGGCAGGTAGAAGTCTGAAGGCTCCAGCCAGGCACCTCCTAAGCTACAGAGGTATCAAAGGAGGCTTCAAAATAAAAGGACAGGACCACCTTTCAGAATGATTAGCTTAATTAAGCTACAGAGACAGAAAAACAATGGCTGAAGAGTACTGTCAGGAGTGGACTCAGGTAACATTCGTACAGTGTGAGAGCTGCAGCCGGAGAAGATACACTCTCTGGTCTTCAAGCCATGGTCGTTCCACTAATATGGCAGCTTCTTCAGAAGTCTCTGGAACAAGCATTCGCTTTCAACATTTAAAAAATTTTCTTCTTCAATATTCCATAATTGGTTAGTTTTTCCTAGTAATAATGATGGGAGAAGTATGTTTCCTTTCATCATCTTTAACCCTTACCTAGAAGAACTTATTACAGGCAAAGAATTTGTGAATCTTTGCTAAGAATTGTTAAAGCTTCATCATAACCCCACAATCAACACTCCCAGGACTTAAACAAAACTTTGAGCCTCATACCCCATGTTTTCCACCTCTAATTAAAAGACAAGGTAGAGTCATGGTTGAAAGCATCAACTAAAAGACCAGAGACATAGCGCAGCTATCAGGCAAAGAGGCACAGACATTTCTAGTGGTCTTATAAAATCCTTCCTATGAGGATTCGTCCTGAGCAAGAATGAGGAAGGAGGGGGAAAAGGGTAGAAAAGACAACACAGCCGGGGTCACTCATACACTCTTGTTTTCAAAGAACCCTCACACACAGTTGGGATAGAAATAGAATCTTCCAGTACAGAAAAGGTGATTCTTACAAATAAACTTTCATGTCTGTGATTTCTAACACCTGTTGCCTAACTTAGCAGCCACTACTGACAACACTTTAGATGTGAACTGGTATCACCCTCTTTAAAGCTTTGCATGAAAAAATTGCTTGCTTGATGTTTTCAGCTATTATAAAGACTCACCACATAGCTATCTACCAACACCTACGTGCATTTATTGTCTCCTCCCAAGTGTCGGATACTTGTACAAACAAAATGCACAGATTATGCCTTTTGGGGAGGAAAGAGGTAGTATTATAATAATAGAATCATTGAGGTAATCAAACATGAAATCTGTGACTTCTTTTGTTGCCTTCAAAATATCAAAAAATGAGCCAGCATATAATATTTAGGTTTGTGATAGTATAGGAGGTTGGTGAATAAACAAATATTAATGATATGAAGATTTTGTTCTTAAAAGTCTGCCAAGATTGGGCCCTCCCTGGTGGCACACTGGGTTAAAGCACAGCACTAAGAAGCTAAAGCCACTTCAGCATGAGTTCAATTCCCGCCCGCCCCGGAGGGGACCCCAGGGAGCGGCAGACCTCTCCTGACCGGCCCACTGCTCCCCTCAGCAGTGTACTTCCTCGATCTGCCTGTTCTGCTCCCCGCTCTGTCTCTGGTGAATCCTCTCACCCTCCGCATCTCT